TAAAGCTTTTATTGTTATTTCATTGTCATGCCTAATAATGATGATGTTCTCGCCTTTCTTCAGGTATATTTGTGGACATTTCCTGCCTTTATAAAAGAATAGACAAACTACTACAAGAAATCCTGTGAGAGAGAAATATGCAAGTGATCACATCAGCACCTTTGCTACCAGAGCAACCATTTACCTACATAATAATAATCACATTGCCTTAATTTCAGCAAGACTAAGTGTAAACCAACAGGGCTGCAAAAGACTAAGAGAACCTCTTATACTTGGCAGATGATAGAAAACCAGACACATGCACACACACACATACACACACGCACACACACACACACACACACACACACACACACACACACACACACACACACACACACACACACACACACACACACACACACACACACACATCGTACACACACCAGCACACGATTTGACCCAAAGACATGAGCAGATTACATGTGCATGGGTGTGTTTAATATGTTTCACTTCACATGGAGCAGCAGCACAAACCATATAGCACAGGACGAGGGCTTTTTCTTGCAGGAACCAAGCCAGTGCATCTGACCATGTTGACATTTTACACACTGACATCAGATGGGAAGAAGGGAGGGGAGGGGGAGGGAGGGTGGGTGGGTTAGACTGCAGCTCTGCATTCAGTCATATTGTCACAGTGGAAGGTGTAAATGGAAAGCAAGCAGGTAATGAGGAGCAATTTTTTTAAACATTTAGAAATCAAAGTCACAGTTCTACAAATCCAAATCAATCTTAAAATATACTCATTTTAGATTTAGGTCTCTTTGGTAGAATTATGTTATTTTAAGAAGGAAACAATAATTGACTTTCTTCTCTGTGATACCCCAAACATGCCATCATAACAGGACTCCGGTCCTCCCGTGTGTTTTTACAGTCCGCCCCTCAGTCTCCTCCAGCCTCGCCCCAGAGACCTAATGCATCATTTGAGCCTCATACAACTCACTGCCTCCTAAAGCCACCGGCTCCTACCACCCTGATGGAGGCATTTTTTCGCCACTTAGAAGCACGCACTGTGTGTCCGATCCCTTCCTCCTTAATATGTCCTCTGTTACCATCAGGCATTTATGCCTGTTTTTTCTACTCCAGTGACCACTGAGCACCGGCTTCATTAAAACTAATTGAATCGGAAACGTGTCCGCCCGAGGAAACATTAACTCTTTCTATTAAGGAAATTTCCGATTTCATTTTGTCAATAAGGTCAAAGGACCGAGCCTGTGTGTTCAATACAGATACATGCTGCTCATAGACTTACACTGTTTAATTTGGGCAGAGCCAGCTGTCTATTAGCACTAAATGTAGCATCTCCTGCTTTCTGCTGATTTTATTGTGATTTTGCTAATACTATACTATTTTTTTTTCCACTAAATCAATAGTTCCCCAAAGGAACTCCCCTCTTAACACAATATCCTGTCAATTTTATTCCATTATTAATTTCTTGTGTTAGCATAATTGAGTTTTGGTACAAGCACTGCGTTAATGGTTTTACTGACCACACTTGAAACAATAATTTGATGGCATCCGTCAGAAATCAATGTGCGATAACAGAGCATACACAGCTGTTTAATATGAAGTAAATATTTATGAGTGATCTGACTAGGCATCAAGTCCAGTCAATCTTCTTTGAGAGGATCTGTGCGAATGATTAACCTCATTTTACTGCTGCTGTCTGGCCTGGTAATGGCCATTAGAGCTAAGAAGGAGTGAGGCCTTTGATTTTTGGCTCCTCATCATTCACAGCTTGTCGCATCCCTTCATCCTTCATACATGGCTGCTGAATTGATTGTCTGTTTAGTCCTATGAATGATATAGCCACTGTGGGCCACAGGCTGAGAGGGGCGGGGGGGGACACACTTGGCTCGCTTCCATCTATATGCAAGGTGGATTTCTTTCCCTGCCTCGCCACTCGGAAATCCGCTTTTTGCATTATTTATTGGACAATCATCAGCATTTCAATATGGTAAATCAAATAGTCACAGTAATATAACTATGGGCAGTCGTATCCAAAGGGCCATCATTCCCCTCATTATTCATTCATTTTGTTTAGAGGTAGAGTCGGCAGTGCTCGTGGGATTCATAAGTTGTGTAATCAACATGTTTTACTGCAGGCTCACGCAGTGGAGGGAAAAGTAACCTGAGAAGAAGGGAAGAGTATTGAGCGAAGGAATGAATGGTAGAAGTGCTCCTGAGACAGATGGAATACGTACCTCTAAAACTAGAGTGTTAAAAGTTTTGAAGTCACTAAAAAGAACGTTTGTGGCCTTTAAGTCCTGAATCTAAACAGGTGGATCTGCTTACAGGTTTTCTGAGACGATTCTTACTCGTTCGCCCAAAATAACTTTTAATGCCTCTCGTGAATAAAGTAAAGCAGCAGGATCAAATTGAGATCCAATTTTTTTTTTTCCACATGGGAGAAAATTTTATTTTGTGTTCTTACACTGTACAGAGAGAAGAAAGGTGATGAACGAGATGCTTCTAAGAATTGAGTTTTGTACAGTGTAATTGTGGATTCTCATTCACATCTGTTGTGATTTAAAATACGACTGCTCTATCTTGGTGCAAGTTGAGCAACAGTGAGTTCTCTTTAGATGTCAGTGTAACCCCAAGTTCTCATGCAGTGCAAAGGTGAAAAGTCAAGTGCTCTCCCACCACAGGGATCAGATGAGGCAAAGATCTGAGCTTATCTCAACCTCCCAACATGTAATCAAACATTAGACCTCCTGACGAAACCACAGCTAACGATGTCAACATGCAAGTGTGCAGGTAAAAAAAAAAAGAGACAAAGTTACAGATTATAGAGTTAAAAGAGAAGCGGGACTTTGTACTTTTCAAATGTTTCTAATGTTTGTTATGTTAATAGTCTGACTGAGCACATAGCAACAGAGATGCTCAAACCCAGGAAGTGTCACACGTGAACCTGTCAAACTGCACAACAGAATTTGTTGAAAGTGCAGCTTGTGCATGCAACATTATCCAAACTCTGTGTTGCATCCAATACTGTAAATATGAAATAATGCTAAAAGCATTTAACTGCAGCCACAAAGTTTCTGTTCATGGATGATAGCCACCTTCGCTTGCATGACTTTGGTATGTTGTCCTCCGTGCAAAAGCTTAAAAAAAACATGGCAGAACGACTACATATCTCTTCTTCCCTCCACGCCTGCCTGTGCTAACACAGCCACATCTTTCCCTCCACTGACTCCAAGTGTGGGGAGGAAATTAAGTCGTATGCTGCTAATGAATCTCGACTGTGAGTCCTCCAGCATATATAATCATGCACAAACACTGACAGAAGTATTAGCTGCTTGTGTCATGTTTTATTGTGCTGAGACAGACATGTTTAAAGCCTAACTGTACTTTGAGTCAATAGAGAGAACTTGTGACATTGTAATGCACCCTTTCAGCAGATCTGCTAAATGTCAGCAAACTGGTTCTGAATCTAATCCCAATTTGCCTTGGAATTAGCACTTTACACTGACGATCTAATTATTTAGACAATTTATTGCCTGCTGCTAATATCTCTCAAAATAAGCTGTTCCCTTCATCTCGATCCTGTGATAAATGTGGAATCAGGGAGGATAAGTCGCAGACATGCCTCAGAGCCTTGCGTCACTTCTCTGCTCTGACAGACTAACGGGAAGGCTTTGTGACAGCGCGCAGGCCAATCACTGCCGCTTAGTTTTATTTTCTATTAATACACACCAAAGTGCGCTGATTTTATTTGTGGACAGGATTAAAGGATAAACAGGCGGACTTTTTACCTGCGCTAACTAAGAAGACTCTCCCGGGGGCTGTGCGTATGGTTGACGGTATTACGGGAACAGGATTATTATTAAACAATTATGTTGCTTTTTTTTAATAGAGGATAATATGCATGTATGTTATCGGGGTTTCTTTTTTAATTCGAATTGCACAGACAGGCGCAGCGATGTGACGCACAATACACAATGTGTGCCACCTGTGCGCACCCAAAATAACCTTCAAAAAGAAATGTTTTCCTTTCAGCTGCGCTTATCAAATATGTTTAATTCTTTTTTATAACTTCTGGTTATAGTCTGTCGATCTTTTATTCTGTGGGGAATCTAAAACTTTAGCTTCTGTTTCTGTTTGGACTTGTCGGCTGTGTAACTAACACAGGTTAAAGTCTGTGTTCAAGGAGTTTAAGGAAGGAAAATGAAGCCTTTAAAGCATCGCACAAATGATCTCATTTACAACTTGAAATGACATGAAGGTTGAAAACACAATTTAAGGCTTTCGACTAAGAAAGGTAACCCCAAACTTTAATTTAATTTACATCAACAGCCGCACCACCAAAGAGCCTCCTGGGGTTTAACTGAATTTAGCAATGCATTAACCTACTCCTTTTTTGAAAATGTTCGCTCAAATTATCTTTTTTTAAATTTCGAATCTGGGAGTAAAGAGGTTTATTTAATCTGAAGCCTTTTCCTTTGTCGATTACATAAAGAGCTTCTGACAGTCCGGGATGTTTTCCATGTATTCAAATATAACTCAAATATTCAAACATAGATGATGTATTGAATATTTCCTAAAAGAATACGATTATAAAACTTCTCGGAGTAGTGCAGTATCCGCGCAATGAAGGCCTTACATAAGCGATTACATTAACAAATAAAGGGAGAGAATTGAAACTTGTTACACGAGTAGGCCTGTCCGTTCTTTAGTAATTCTTTAAAATGTATAAATGGTATGTTATATAATAATCCCCTAACGTTGTTCATTATTATTGTCTGCGCCTGCTGGTCTCAACACTTCAGGTAAGTACGGGAAAGTTTGAACTCCAAAATGATATTTTTCTATCCCGGGCCAAAGCAACTATTTCCTATGAGCCAGGTCTGAATTAAAAAAAAAAAAAAAGGAAAAAAAAGAACCAATTTCAGAGAAATTATTTAGCAAAGAATTGATTTAAAAGTTTTATTTGTAAACATTAAATATTTCTTTCTCTCTAAAGTTTTTGAATCGGGCACCAAATGCGTTACAGAAGTCGTAAGTACATCATGATGTCAGAATGTGGGCCTACATCACACTCTCATGAACCTCTTTAAATAAGATGGACTTTATCCAATTTTTCCAAAACGTGTGAAATCAAAACTACGACGTTTCTAAGACATAAAAACATAGACAACGTGCTCAGCATGAACTTGGATGGGTTTGAAATCGTTTTTAAATTGCACCATGCTTAGTGTAGCTCTTGGCAATAGAAATAATAAATATATAGAAACGTTTATATTCAACAGCAACAGTACTTACAGCACATACAAACAAGGAATGTCTGACAGTTTTACAAACACCATGGGTCCCTCATTTTTCTATACACATGAGATATTTTCCACATATGCGTCATACATAAAAGGAGTGCCATAACTACGAATCTGTATCAAATCTAGCAGACTACATAGTGTCCGGTATATATTATATATAGACATCACCTCAGCAAGTGCCTATAAAAGAAAAGGAAACTGAAAGAAAAGAAAAGAAAGGAGAACATGCGTTGTCTTTTCTGGATACTGTTTGGGATCCTGTCAGAAACACATAGGCACGAGTCAGGAAAGAAAAGAGAATTCAATCTTTTCATTGTAACAAACTTTGTACACGTGTTATAAACCGATGCATTGGAGGCATCACATAATCTATCGTAATATACACTGTGTGTGTGTGTGTGTGTGTGTGTGTGCGCGCGTGTGTGTTCTTATATATAAATGGGATATATTACAGCTGAGGATGCTGAATCAGTGGAGCTGATGTGAAAGAAACAGGTAGGGATTGCAAAACCGGATTTAGTGTGTTGATAATTTGCGGGAGAAATCCCCCGGGATTATTCACTTGTTTGTCACTCAAGGGAACTATTTCAAGGAATTTTAAAAAAGGCCAACATTTCTTCAACTTTCTGCCTCTTCTTCTCGGTATTCTTTTTTTTATTTCAATGAATCTTTACTCATATTCTGTACTATGTGCCTATACGTGTCTTGCAGATATTCAGAAATAATATTACAAATTCTGACTCAAACAGTCTTTTGGAAGTTCTTTGAGGTCTCTCCAGCGAGTCGGACTCAGAAAGGCAGGGTGTCGAGGAAAAGTTTGTCAATTATTGCTGGCGGAGGGACTAGATCTTCTAGTTTAAGGTAAAAGATACGCTGCAGACCTTGGGTACATAGCGTGCGCAGTTCAGGGAGCTTTCCCAAGAGTTTTGACAAGTAGTTGGGACGATTCAATCCACCGCCATTGAATGTCACTTGATCTTTGAGGCAGTTGACTATCTTGTTTTGGAGGTCCTCGACTCTCTTCGGTTCCTTGAGCCCGTGTCGCTCTGAAACATAAGGAAAAGACATCTAAATTATTACAAATGCCTGAACTTTCTGCGGTTTTTTTTTTTTTAACGCAGGGACAATTTTGAAGGAGGACAGTGGCAGCGGCTTTTACGCACCTGTTACCATGGCCAGAGCTGCGATGCAGGAGAAAGCTGATATGTCTATGTTCATGCTCTGCAAGTTGGAAGAAAACTCCGCGATGGAGTCCACCCACTCTCCAAATCCACGGACGCACTGTAGCCTGTGTAACACCACTCCATTACAAAAAATAAGTTTGCCTTCCACCGGGTTGGACCTGCAATTAATAAGAAAACGCCGTTAATTACGCACGGCAATAAATGGGGATTTAAGAGCCTTCTTATTATAAGGCAGCTAATAAAACCCAAAGCAATGAAGCTTGAAGGAGGAGCTGATTATTATCTAAAGCTCGGTTTGTTTGGTTTAATAATTACGCAGCTCACCTGTATGCCAGCCGCAGAACGAAAAGTTCCAGGAAGGCGGATTCAAAGAGGAGATCTTGATCTTGTTTCGGTAGATCAGAGAAGCTGGGGATCTTCTCCGCCCAGCCCCGGATGATCTCCATGGAGCCCGTCAGGAGATCATAGAACTGCTGGATGTGCTGAGTGTTGTCTCCAGTCATTTGGTAGTCAGGGTTAGCCTGGAACTGGAATTTAATTTAAACAGCGGCTTAATGAGGTCCTTTAAAATATATAATCCGTGAAATTGCAAATGGCCATTTCCAAGAGGGAGAGAGCGCTTTTCTACTATTAAATTCATGTCTTCCTTTTATTAACTCCTCTATTTCAACGCAATTTACTTAGGAAAAAAATATGCCACATTAAAAACCAGACAAAGTTAGGAATCCAGCGATGTGTTAGAGAAAACTTTCCAGGCAGTAAATTGTTACCTAAACGCAAGACTAAATTAAAAAGGCCGTCAATCTTAGTCTTCATTCTTTTCCCCCCTCTCACTTCAAACTATTCCTCTTTTTTAGTGCTCTTTGTGCCTCTTATATTTCTTGTAAAGAGGTTCTTTACTTACCCTGGAGTAGTCCAAAGCAGACATGGAGGGGTTGGAGTCCACGTGAGCCCGAACAAGCGCGCTTATGAGGCTCACCGGCGGCGAGGGAGGGGATGGCTCCTGGGGACTTTTGGGTTTGGATGGCAGCCGTCCTCTCCGACCTTTAAGATTATCTGTCCGGACAACTGTAATGAGCAAAACAATACGACATATAATTTATTAAAAACACTCTTCTGTTGTTGTGCGTAAATAGGCCTAATTAAAATAAGTTTGAATTAACAATCAAACACTGTTTTACGCATATGATTATGTGTGCATCAGAATGTGAAGTTCTGTTGCAAAATAAATGAAGGCATGGCCTACACGTACCTTCTCTCACCATTCCGACGACAATACACTTTTGGAAGCGACAGAACTGGCACCGGTTTCTTCGGCGTTTGTCAACAGGACAGTTTTTATTCGCTAAACAAACGTATTTGGCATTTTTCTGAACAGTGCGCTGCATGGAAAAAGAGAGAAAAGCATAATGTCAGTCGGTATAGGCCTGTTGCCAAGGCTGTATAACATGCATAACACTGACTCTGAACTGATCCTTCCAACAAAAAAATAATAAAAAGAGAAGGATATACTATCTCTCATCTCCTGTTTGAGCGCAAGAAGCAGCAAGAGGGAATATACAGTCTGCAAATACACGCTCCTGCTCTTTCACATTTTTCTTATTCCTTTGAGATGAACTACATGACTATCATATAAAGTTATTTTAGGCGCGCACCTCCCTTATGGTTTTAGTGCAGCCTGCATTGAACATCTGGTTGAAATACATTTTATTTTTCAAGTAATGAGACTGTCTTAAAGCTCGCACGCACCGTAAAAATAAAATCAAAAATATCTTAGAAGTAATTACAGTGACATTGATTCATGCTCGCTGTCATGTCATCCCACCTTGAAAAATCCTTTGCATCCCTCGCAGGTCCTCACTCCATAATGCTGGCATGCTGCGTTGTCCCCACACACCGCGCACAGACCCTCGTTTGACGGAGATCCTCGGGACGGGGGCGATGGCACTTGGCTGTCCACCAGCTGGTGCGCGTGGCCGAGCTGCAGGGAGTGCGGGAAGGCCAGACCAGCCTGTTTCCGGAGGGCGCTCGGCACCGCAAAACTCTGAGCGTCCAGGCCGCGGTGCACGCCGGAGTTGTCGTGGTTCATGACGTGCAGCGGCCCGTCAAAGCGCATCTGACAGCTGGAAACGGGCGTGCCGGGCGGGGACTGCTTGAAGGAAAAGAGCGAAAGCCTCGACACTGGGTTCTTGCGCTGGTCTATCATGTGAGAAGTGACATAGTTCTGGTGGAAACTGTGGAGGGAGCCCGGGTCCTCCCACATGTGATTAGGCTGAACCTGGAAGTTTGGCGTGCTCGGCGCGTGCGGAGAGGACGGTTTGAAGTACATAGGCCCAGAGTGGGCCAACATCTCTTCTGATTGAGGCGGCAGGTGACCCTGCTGATGGTAGCTGTGCATCTGGACGTCCTCCACCTTGATGGAAGACTGTTCTCCAGAGTGCGGCATTTGATACAGACAGGGCGGTTTGACGTCGTAACCGGTGTTATAGTTGTCCATGAATGTACTGAAACTCGGCAGAGAAGTAGTGGCTGTGATCTCAGTATTGGTCAAGTCCATGCTAAACTTCACAAACTCGGGTGTTAAGAAGTCGCAGCTGTATTCTCCTGCGGTGTGGTAGCTGTAGCTCTGGGAGGCAGGACTCGCTCCTTGAGGTGATGATCCATACTGAGCCTGGACGCAGGGCATGGCTGAAATCAAGCGGGGAAAACACATCAGAGAAGATCTCCCAAATGTTCCCAAAAGTTTCACCGTTTTTCAGTTTGATAAATATATTTTTTTCATTCTAGATTAAAAAATAACAGTGCTTTGTAGTCAACAAAACAACACACAGGCATAGCATGTTTTTTTAAATTGTAAATAATTTTCCATCATACCTCAAGTCTTCTGACAGTTTTTCGGTGACACTTGAAATGGGTGATTTCAGGAGTTGTATGGCTGTCAGGATTCAAGAAAGCGGATCTGTTCTGGTTCTTCCCCTGATAAAACACATCACTTTAACATTTACTATATCATAAAATAAAACATTACAAAAACTGGCCCAACGATCAAGAGGAAGTCTGGTTTCACCCACACGACTGCGCACCAACATATTTCTTTTTACGCACGGCGCTTCGAAAAAATGTCCTCAAATGTTGAAGAGCAACAGACAAATGCGGATAATTCATCTTTTATTTTGACCTAATAAAGTGTTGAGTTGATGAACTGACAAACTTCGCGCATTTAACATTAGTGGCAACTTGTTTAGAAAGCTTTGGAGAAAAAAAAACGTGAAATAAAAGAAACAGCCAAACATCTGACCAGTCAGACCCAGACATACAGAAAGTTAGTTCAACAGTGAGAAAATACTCCCAAGTTAAAACATTCAAAGTCCCGTGGAATGCTGTGCAAATAAAGCGCCGACACGGATTAAATAATAAAGAAAGAGATGAGTGAATCTTACCTCTTTCACATCAGGATCGTGGCTTTCAATCCATGCGATAAGCATGCAGGGGGGATTCATCAATTTGTGTAAAAGCTCCAAATCATGAGCGTAGGTACCCAACAATACCAGGCAGGCGGGCGGGCAGCTGAGCAGGCAAACCGTGTGACTCCTCGCACTGACAGCGACACGAGCTTCGACTAACCCAGTCTGGCCAATGTGGCTTTGTTTATGTGAGCTCTGGATACCGTGCCCCACGTGTTTCACAGCGTGACGTAATCGGCGTCGACACCGCCACAGACCAATCCGCTGGGGAGCCTTCTCAAGCCCCAATTCTTCTGGTGAGTATGTTTGTCTTGTGGTATGTGTTCTATGTTGCTTCCCACATGGACATTAGCAGAAATGTAGTGGAGGGTAAACCCTTCTGTGCTCACTCCACACACACACACACACACACACACACACACACACACACACACACACACACACACACACCCCCCCACACCTTTGTGTTTGCAGGGGGCTAAAGTCACGCGTGTTTTGGGCTGATATTAACCCAACTGCTGGGTTTCCAGTCTATTTATCTCAGATGAACAGAGTGAATATAGGCTATGACTAGCTGTCTTGTTTATGCACATTTTTTATAAATTGTGTTTGTAATAATTTAAACCTTAATTTTATTTTCTATATTCCAACAAATCAACACCAATTATGATTACAACTTGTTTTATATCAGCAAAAGCAATAAAAGAAAACTTCCACGCAGCAGAAGGCAAACATAAAGTGTTTTTAATTGTGCATTTTTAGTCAAACTTAGAAAACACAAGTCTCATTGTCATAAGCATCCATACTCACTATTATTGGGATCATTTATTGCATCATAGTGTGCAATAATACACAGATGAGTGTACATTGGCACATCTAGGCACAGTTATGTCACAATAAGGCTCCTATGACAGACTCACTACACTTGCATGAAAAAGGTCTAATGAAGCGAGGGTCAATATTATCCTTTGTTATCTTCTTACAGGAATTCTGTATTTCAATTGTATTCCAAATTTAGACCTCATGCATGGGGTGGGGTTTACGGGGTGGGCTTCCTATTCATTGAGCTACTACAGTGTATGTGAAAGGAGGAGGAGGGAGGGGGTGGGGGGTAATTAGTGGGCCGGTAGCCAGTTGTCATAAGGGGACCAATTTAGTCCCCAGAGAGGGAAACGTGATAGGAGCAGGCAAGAATGGAGAGTGACGCAGAAATACGCTCATGTCGACGCAGTGGCCAAAATAATCTCTGGGCCTTATTGTTCTGCAGCGATGGAATAACCGATCTCAGTGTAATCTTACACAAGCACCTTGTGGCCAATCAAACTTGGCCTGATTTCTTTTTCTTTTTTTTTCTTGATGCATTTTTTGCCTGGACTGCAAGCCAAAAGTGAGCAGAGAGCATGCGAAAAGAGGGTGCACCAAGATGTGTTGAGAGATGTGCATGCAGCTTTGTGTGTGATTATTGTAGGAGACACAGAGCAGCCTTCAGTCTCAGAGCAGCTTTTTCACTGCATGGCCTGTACTCAGTGCGAACAAGGACAGAGAGGAGAGAAAACTGTATATCATGGTTACACTCACCTCTAGAGGACACTATTGTTCACCAGCCATCCAGCAGCTCCTGCTTCTTACAATTAACCTTTTAATTAACCCAACCCCATTAAGGCTGTGTGGTCACACCCACTCAGTTTCAGGTGGCAGCATATGTAATTTACAAATTTCCCTCAATGCACTGTGCAGAAGCAAAATAATGTAGTAAAAGTAATTGTGTCCTAGAAGTTGTAGAAATCTTGACCACCACCTTTAGCTGACATATTGTACAGGAGGCTTATATTTTTGCATAAAACCCTCTCAGTGTGTGCCGAGCTCATCTGACCAGCGTGTGCGTGTTTACTTACAGTATATGTGACACACCTCTGCATAACACACTCAGTGTGTCTAAAAACATGCATGGCTGCATGCTGCATGGTCACACCGTGTTTCTGTTATCCACTTACCATTTAGAATTTGGAATGAAAACACAATTAGCAGTTTAATTGGCCGTTTTACTGAAGAATAATTAACTTCCCATTTATATGCACAATTAATTGACAGTCATTTGAAAGTGAGGAGTTGGTTTTAATCACACAGAAGTTATTTCCTGAGATTGTATTTTTAACTTTGTTTGAAGAAATGTCAACTGGCATTACCAATTTTTAGTGTGTGGGCGTGCAACCTTGTGATTGTGTGTGTGTGTGAGAGAGAGGCTTCTTTTTCATTGGCTCACAGACTCATCTTAGTTTTTAATTTCTCTGCAAGTAAAATTCCAGAAACCTGCTGGAAATGTTCTTTCTTCTTGGATAAGACTCTGTGATCATGTAAAGGTCACATGATGCTCGTGGTACAGTAGGACCAGCGCTGACCGTTGTCTGAAGGGTCAACCCCGAGGGAGAGCAGCAAATTGAACAGTGATCACCTCTTGATTCACTAAAAACTCATTTATAGTTTGTATTTAGCATTTGTACGTGTATGCAAAGTTAGTCTCCAACTACAGAATATTTTTTGTTACCACAGCCTCAAAGTTGTTAGAAGTCCTTTTTAGGGCCTCTATCAACACACATTCACCCACATGAGCTGAGATTTTTCCCCTTTATTCTTTTTAAAGAGATTTGGCCTGGACTCAAATTATTAAATCAGAAAAAAAATCCCACAAAACATTTGCCTGTCGATTTCGGTTGCCGGACTTTTATTCATTGAAGTGTCAGTTATATATTGTTTTATAATCTTAAACCTTAATACCTCTTCTGCCACTGTTGATGTTGACGCACCACCTCCATGTGAAACCTAAGTAAGTTTAATCTTTTTACATTTAGTTTATTTGTTTCAGACATGAATACAAAATTGCAAAGCACATGAAGAAAGTATGAAAGCACGTGTGTGGATTTGGTAGAAACCTGCAAATGGCTTTTATGAAAACTACAACTAAGAGACTTACAAAAAGTGATACTTTACCACCATCTACATATATGAGTTCACTTATGAAACAGTGAAGAACTCCATCCAAACAGAGCTAATCTAATGTTTCTGAAGGCAAAATATTTTATGGAAAAATGAAAAAAAACATTAGTTTTCCACTTATCCACATCCTTGTTAATTGTGTTAAGTCCTCTGACCAATCAGAGGCTGTATTCCTAACTTCTCACCAACTAAATCTGCGTTATTGTGATTTTTATTGGAGCGTTTGTCCCTCCCGCTCACTGTTGATGTGTAATGTATAACACACAAAAAGAGACACAAAACATCCCAACTTTCACTTGAACTTTTTATATTTTAAAGCGACTGCAAAATCAGGTAAACAATCAAAGAAATTCTTCAAGGGACTAATAATTTTTGATCATCCACTAACGGTATATAAGTCGGCCTCTTACCTGTATAAAAACCTAGAGGAGGTTTTTCTACTTTCCTTAAATTGAAGCTTAGGTAGTTAGCAAAATGTCCTGGTTTCTCTCACAAACCCTTGTTTCATTCCTGAGCACCAGCAGGTATCAAACTTTCTGACGATTGAACATCCCAACCCTGAAGGCATCCCCTTTACTTGGTGTCCTCTTCCCATTTCTGGATTCCCTCTTTACAAGCTTAAATGTCTACTTAATATGCTTTAATGCCTGCTCTTTAGAGCCAGGGAGCACTTCATCACTTTTATACACCTTTATATAACACACTGTTAACTAGCAATGCCTTATGGAACAGCTTGTCTTGCAGCTGGAAGGCGCCTGCATGGCATGATGGAGGTACCTGTTCACCATTCACAATGAGACAGTAAAATGGGAATAGAGGCCTCTGCACACTGCTGCTGTCTATATCAGTCAGTGATGAATATTCATGAATCACAGTGTCATGACATGCTCTGTAATTGGCAGCAACATTAGTAATGACACTGCTGGTATCAAGCCCCTGCATATTCATGTGGTGGGGCAATATTTCCTCTTGGTGCTGTTTTTTTTCTTCTTCTCGCTCCTCCTGAAAGTGGAAATGTATTCTGAAGCTGCAGGTGTCCCTGGTGCCACAATCAATTTCTGGCTGGATTGTGCCCCAGTGAAAATCAGACAAACCATTAGTTTTTTGTCAGGCTCTTTGATTAATAATAGATGTGAATTATAAAAGGATGGGAGGGATACATATATAGTTTAACGTGAATCTTTTTGTAATAGTTATAAATGAAGGCCCTTAGGACTCTTAGACACCGTGGCTTTGGCTATTCCGCTAATGTGTAGAGGACATAATTATAATGTTCTCTCTTATGATGCAACACAAACTGGATCTCCTATTGAAGCTGTTTGAGGTGTGATTAGATTTAGCATGCTGGTATAGAAACAAACCGTCTGATAGTGAGCGCTCTTGCAGATCTCTCTCTGCAGTGGAAGTTGTTGTGACTCCATTTCAGCCCCTCTAAAGTGTCCCACAATGGATGGTGAGGGAATTGGATAAAGCTTCTGCTAAGCTGTGAGGCTTTCTCCTCTAAGTAGCTGGATGAGAGGATGTTTTTTCTGCTTCAGTTTGAGAGCAGAGCAGCGTTCAGTCTGTGGCGTCTTCCAGACAAGAAAAAAAAGGTTGCAGTTCTGGGATGGGAACTTTCACAACAATGTGAGTTTCATAGGTACAACACTTGTGATGAATCGTATGCTTGAGAATGATCAACATTGGTCTTCAGTAGAAGAAACAATACTGTAAACAGAGTATAAATGCCATGACAAGTAAATATTGTTTATACAAAATTCTGATTTAGTTAAAGAGAAAAAATATCACCAATCAAATGTACTTAAACTTTCAGAGTAAAAGTACTGATGTGACATTATCATATTAGTTACTCAAACTGAAGATGGACCTATAATAAACTGTTTTACAACGGTTTTAATTAGTTAAGTGGTTTCTAACCTGTGGTTCTGGACCCTCCAAATGGTCACAGCATTGGTCTGATGAGTCGTGCGATAAATGATTGACAAGAAAATAAAGACAAAAGTCCTCTGCTACACAATAAATCTCTACCATAGTTTGACCTCCTCAGTCACTTTTTAGTTTGGAGGGAATATCTACAGTAAGAATGTAAACAGCTTCGACATCTGAAAAAGACAAGGAGCTTCAGTATGATAATGTTTTAGTGATAGTTTAAAGGTGTTTAGTCTTCAACAATGTATTACATATAAGGACTGTTAATA